ATTTCTGAGGATGGATCAGAATGCTCAAAAAAGCGTCGGAAATGTTATTAATACATCTATATTGCAAATTTATAGTGTGAGTCGATCTACAGAATGATTTGACCTCAACGAATAAGAATAATTATCAGTAGCTATGATGAAATCGTTGCGTGACACAAAGTCCTCTATAGTAAAGCAGTAGGGGAGCTAAATGAATAACTCAACCATATGCAAACCACTCATTGGAAAGACAAGGACGGGGGTATTTCAGATAAATTGATCGCAAGTCCTAAGCATCCAGACGATAGTGATAAACAAACCACTGTTTTTAGTGAGAGAACTCAGTCGGTGTGATTAACAGAAGCACTTAAAATTAAAAAGAGAATGGTGTGAAATAGTGGTATGTCGGCTAAACTTTAGGTGGTAGGATACCATTTTCAATCTGGTGATAAGTACAGAAGCCTTTCGGTAGATAGTATAAACTTACATTTTACTAACGAAGCAAACCTTATTAAGTAGTCACCTATCACTTAGCTGTCCTCAGCTCTCGTCAAGGAAAACAAGAATCCACTCAAGTGTGACGTTCAATAATTTCTGTCATTTCTTGACTGTGCCACTTGCTCGATCCAGGAGTTCCTATGAAGAGGCAACCGAAACACTATCTTCAGCTTTAGAGGATTTTCAAACGTTTATCATACTGGACTCACCCAACTGAAGCGTTCGGTCAAATATCCTCAACAGATTACGAGTGTGTGCGCCATGCTACGCATCTCCTACAATCGTTATCCAGCATAGATCAAACGCTTCTCAAGATATCGATAGCCATTCAAATATAACTTCGAACCTCTTCATTCCTGGCTTCTAATTTGGCTGAGTTGACATACTTCGACTATAAAGGTGTTGCATGTAAAGGCGTTTTCAAACCCTGAATACTTGCGGCATCTCTAGTTTTAATGATCCGATGTCTTCATACCTGATAACCTTTCATTATAAATGTATTGTCGGGTAAAAGAGTCTGAATTTTCTTTTTTACAATCACTAAACTAGTTGCATCTACAGTAAAATATGGGCTGGATACTGCAGCTCATATCCGGGATAAATAAATCCTAGGAGTACCCACTCTGTTAATAATTGAACATTGTTGAAAACCATTTCTGTTTCATTGATCTAGCTAGATAAACACGCCTCATGAGCAACCTCTCCATTCAGCGACTTAGCATATTTGAATTTTCTCCTATTTTCTAGATATTTATTTTGTAAGTTTTACCCTGACCTATGATCATATTTCTCCGTCTTTTTGACCGTTATCATCCTTTCTTTTGTATTTGTTCACAGTACAGATTTCATGCGAATGTATTTCCAGTTCTATTTGATCTTATCACGGTATTTTTATTATGTGCAGCAATTTCCAAAGCATTATTTGCAATTACCAGTGAGTCTTTTATGAGTCTAAAAATGAGTATTATCTTTAACCGTTGATATGGATTACCACACTTTGACCACAACCAATTTCTAACTACCAAACTAGTTAACGAGTAAATTTAAATCGTCTTGAAGAATAATGTTGTCAGAATCACCACATTATCACCCATACTACTACACCATTTTTACGTAAACGTGCAGAAGATCAGAGTAGGTCCAGGAATTTATTAAAGGTGATTGTAAATGAAAAATAAAATAAATACCAATGGTTGTCATACTGACACTATTTAGAAATTTAGACATCTGGTTTTTTCCATTCTGTAAATTATGCAGACATAGTTCGACAATGCTTGATGAGGATCATAACTAGGCACCTACAAACTAGATCTAAACGCAGTGATCCTGGTCTTCCAAATCTAACCGAAATTTAGAAATACAAACATATATGGGAAATTACTTTGTTTATACGTCGTCTACACTTCTATACTTGAGATGTACCTCCAGAAATCGTTGATATTATCATCGGCTTTAATCAACACAACTCCATAGGAAATGATAGCAGTGGTCTATTCAACTAGATGTGAGTAATCAAAATGAAGGAAGCAATGCTCAGAATGTCACATCTGTACACATTGAATACATGATCGCAATTTAATATCTAAGTTACGTATCAAAAACATGACTCCAAATTATAACTTATCTCGTACTTCGACAAGAAGTCCTTTATAGCAACTACCTGGAGATCAGTAGCAAACAGTTTGTTGTCCCTCTACTACATGAAAAATTTTGTTATAACAGGCCAAAGAAAATGGTTGAAGTAGTTTCACGTAAACAATTACATAAGATTTGTGGCAGTTTGATCTTGCCAGTAAATTTTCATGCTTCATATAACTTATGTTTATTGGGAACAAATTCTTGTCATTATTTTTATAAATTGTTTCTGTTCGTTTTTAATTAATTGACAAATGGATGGTTCGAGTACTCTCAGATCATTACTGATGTTTTGTCCGTCGCAAGTAAGTGTAGCATTTATTTCCAACAGATATCAATATCATAATTTACTGTACACCACTTCTCACAGATTTCCGTCCATTTGGCAAAATTTTAGTTTTATTCTTTGTCTTAGATCATTTAGAACGTCTGCTATCCAAATTTATACCGTTCTGGAAGTCCTTAAGTTAAAATGTGTCTGCACAATTCCTGTATGAGACATCCTATAATGGTCATTACCAATCAGTTATTGTTTCGTAGACAATGCACCACCTGCTTTTATATGATTGTTCCGACTATTCATCAGGGATTTTGATAACTGGGGATCAACAGTGAGCTGTGCTGTTCAAATCATATTCAAATCATGCAAGTTAGTGTTTTGTTCTATCACAAGCTAGTCTAAAAAAAACTGAAATTAACAAAATGACAGACCGGTAGTTTAACAAAAATTTCCTAAGTGGGACTAGTACAATTCAGAGCATGAGACATGCTGAGCCTCCTTGCAGGCAATTCAGTGGTAGTTCACCCATAGAATGAAATCACTGGATAGGACAACTCATAGTAGTTCAGCAAATTACTAGGTCTTAGGTTACTTTGCCATCATTTTTAAGTATAAGAAACACACCCGTTTAACTTTAAAGGTGGTCGGATTTTATAAGGGTATTTATGATTCATTTATCTGAATTGTAAAGAAATCGGAATTACAATTTGAGTGGAGCCACCTTTATAAATGCAAAATGTAAGGGACACCTGGCTCTGAATAAGGACGGCGTGAATACTGTGTGCTCGGACCGTCATGTCTAAATAAAATGAAGACTCAAGAGAGAGTTACAGTAAATATTTGATATAAAAACACCCATATCCTATCGAAAATGTTATGTAGACTGATCTGACACCAGTTTAGATAAACGCGTGAATATACTATGAATATACGCCTCCCATTTAATACCGTATATTACCTAGGTTAACTCCGTCTGTATGATGATGGTAAGAAGCCAAATACGGACGGTGATGGAGGAATTTATTTCAGGCATTCATGTAATCAGATTCAGAATAAGAAACAAAGAGGAAAGCGAGACGGATGGCAATTTAGGTGAGCCAACTAAATTTAACCAAGCGTGCCTCAATTATTATAGTCAAACGAAAATCAGCCAAACATATGACTAGTGGGATGAGCAATGTACACACAAACGCTTACATAAAAAGCCAAGGCTGATGAGCGAATAATAATAATAATAACGTGACTCAAGAAAAACGAGTAAATTGGTATGCCTGGGAGCTAGAATGACCCATGCGGGCTTGACAAAGTAATATGCACTAAAATGTGGAGCTTGGTCAGACATTTTGTTTAGTATAAAGGCACCATTCGACAGTTCGTGATAGGTTACTCTAAAATAGTTCGAACTTACCCGGAGAACAATGCCTACATATTTGACGTCAACGAATCTCAAAACTCTCAGGGGTTTTGATTTTCATGCGGTGCATCCAGTACATGACGAGTCCGACCATCCAGAAAAAATATACGACAAACGTACCACTAGGTTGTACGGTTTACCACTCAACATCAGTCACGCGCTGCATCCTAAGCACGTAACAAACGTAGTTAGTATCCAGAAAAAAGCCACAGGCACTGGCCAAGTGGGCTTACTAATTTGGTTGGCCAAGCTCGAAATTTACTTCAGTAGACATAGTATCCGGTTTGTGACCAATTGTAGAAGTCGGCAATTAGTGAACATGCGAAAGACAAATGACTTCGGACAGTTTCGAAAATTCTTCAGCAGTTACGAATTAGAACAACATGCATAGGCAGACACCGTTTTTATTAAGATTCTCATCAGACTTCAGTATACGACAAGACCTATATCCATATACGGGATTATTATACCAATTAAAGTAGTTTATGGGTCAGTGGAATAGACTAAGTAAAAATAAGCAGAAAGTGGAAATTGATAGTGCGATGGCAGGTGTACTAATTGAGAACAATGTTGTTGATTCGTAGTGTAGGGACTTCTCAAATCTTATGAACTACATATGGGCACGCCCCCAAATGCCCTGGTGTGATTGAGAGTGGGGAGGGTCCGCTCTCCCTCTCGAAACGCTCTCACATGGCCACGCGCATATAGCCTCCGCCAGGAAAGTCCTACTCACTGTCTTATTGTGGCATTACTGTTGTTTACGAAATTGAGTGGACGACAAGCGAATGTGCAACACTTCAACCAGCTTGTTGGACAGTTAGGAAACCCTGATTCTAAACCAATGGTGTGCATGGCGTATGGACCAATCGTTGGTCACCGGTTACAATGTGACTGCATCTCCTTACGATGCTCCACTGCCTTGTGGATCAGACCTTCAGATCGAAAGCTCCGGGTGTGGCCCCCTAAGAAAACCACCTTCTTCGGTCTTGGCACCCAGCCCTCAAAAATATCAAATGAGATTTGTATGGCGCATATGTATTTGGTGGGCATGGTCACACCAAGAAGCTTTCGAAAGCACTGGAAGATGGTGCACATCAAATGCGACCAGATAAACCCGAACAATCCCAATTAAGCAAAAAGAAAAGGCAACCTACTCTCAAACATAGCAAATGAATAAAAACGAAGACAGGCGTAATTTAGAAATGTAGATTTGATGCTGCATTAAAGAGAATATCATTAATGCATCAAAAAATGGAACAAGATGATAGTGTTTGACGAAAGAGCAAGTGAAATGAAAACACTTAATAAACGAAACGAGCAAAATAAGACCGGTTATTGTCTTACATAGCATTGACAAAAGCGAGAACGAAATTTGTTCTCTAAATAACCATTTTAATGTATTTTACAACTAATGTATAACATATAACGAGAAGGTATCCTACGACGATTCCGTATGTGTATCCCCGACACACTCTGTATTTGATGTAGGGTCTTTAGGAGGTTCATCTTCCTTGACTGACTTTCGTTCTTCTTCCTCTTCTTCTTCATCGTCATTTTCCTCCTCATCCTCGTCTTCACCATCTCCACGAGCATCTGTTGTTGACTCTTCTTTTGTAGAATCTTCTAACAATTTAGCTTTGGCAGTTTCTAAAGCATGTTCTCTCTTCATATCGATAATGTGGCTGGGGAGTCCAAATAAAGTTAGAATAGTCTGAAAAAGAAGACAGTATGTTGTAAACCGTTGTATAAGCCATAATTTTGAAGCCACTGAGGAAATGTGATCGCAGAAAACAGCAAATGGGAAATTCATTGACTTGTTATTCATGGGAACAAGTGTCGTTTATTGAATATAGAGACATTGAATTTCATATTTTATCAATGCTACAACCACTACTAATTTGATGATCATCTTGATATTTTTATCGCATTGTGCTGATGTGATGTCCCAATTTGGGCGAATTGAATAACTTGCACAAGACTCTTATGTTTAATTTAAAACTACATATTACCAGAATAACATACGTTTAGATATTGACTGTGTAAAACAGCTAGAATAGCGTTTTAACAATCAGCTTTCATGAATTCAAGATAAAAGTTCTTTAGTGATTATTAAATATTTGGCTAGAATTCATAAATGTTTAATTGAAATAAAACCCTGAGGTCACATAACATCTAAGTGTAACAAATAGAAGATAATACTAACACGAAAAATACAGGCCGTAAGATAAAGAATTCAAATAAGTTTAAAAACAATTCATGGACTGACTCTTAATTGTCTAGCTACTTCAATGAACTAATACGAAGTAACATAATTGGTCTAAAAAAAGGAAGCTTAAAAATTTAGCGAACTAAAATGTACTCTTTACGAACTACAACGATTCCCTAACATTATCTTACCAAATCAGAGTTGGCTCCACGTGAAATATAATAATCCTGTTTTATAAAGAACAGTAATGTTTAAGCAAACAACTAAGTATCTAAACAAACTTTAATTACTTAAACTTGAAAGTGCTTGAGATCAAGTGATATGGTATTTATTTATTGATGACCTCTCTAAAGAGAAATATATCCTTTCGTTAATAAAAACTACACATTGTGCTCAGATTCTTTGTCACGAAAAATAGCGCAATCTGTAATAAGGTATGTAGTTATATCCTAAAAGACATGTTTAAATAAAATGAACAAACTGATACCAACGTGCATATATATACGAACTATGTGTGTCATCGGTAACTTACGTAACAATCTCTATAATCAATCCTATGACGATCAGCACGCGACCGAATACATTTTTCTAAACTTTTTTTCCATGAACGAATTCGTGGATGAATATCATAGTATTTAATTGGAAAGTGTTTTCGCATATCATCATAGCAAGTAATACGGAAACCACAAACACATAAATGAAAACCTTTTTCTCCGATAATTCTTGCCAATTCCTATTAATGAAGAATGAAAAGTAACATTATGTTAAAAACTACAGTCTATCAACACATTTAACAAGAAAAACATTCAGTTTCTTTGAATAAGTTATTGTCAATTTGTATATCGGTATTACAACAATTGAAGTCTTATCATTACTCGTTTTAAAACACATCAAAGTAATTCTTTTCAGTATTATAATCAGTATGACAGTTGAACACATACGTAGTTCAGTTTCAGTGAAATGAAAGTAAACAAAAAATCAAAAAGAATACAATGTTATCTTTGGTGTTTTTTAGGCAAAAGCAAAGACGAATTCTAGATAGACCCATGTAAATTTTATTGTTTTTATAACATATACATGTTTATAGATAATCCACAACCGTAAGCGAAGAACGAAACTGTTAAACTAACAGACTGATATCATCAACTGACTCAAATAAAACATATATTGAAAATCAGGAGGTACTGAAAGCAGTGATCTAACGGTCAAGCGTTCGTGCGCGAGATCTGAACTCCCGGATCCGCTTCTCGACAGGGAAGCGAATGTGCACAGTGCTGAGGAGTCTCATAACAAGAGAAAAGAACAATACATTGCTTCTTATTTCATGTCTGTCTAACTCAAATTAGTAGTTCAATATATCAACAACATCCAATAACCTACACAAACCTACGTACTGATTAATAGAATACAATGCGATATGAATAGTGAGATCGATAAACGAGAAACTGGCTCACTTTACTAGCTCTAGACTGGCATGTTTTCCATACAGCAAAAACCGAATCGGATGCAGACAATCTCATTTCTTCTTCAAATGCAAATTCCTCCAAATTAAATTTCTCCTTATATTTCTTTTGATGTGTAAGAGTACGTAGATGATTTTCTATATCATCAGCTCCAATTAAATCTGCTTTACAGAGTGAACAGCTATATTCCAAATCTCGTGTATTGTATACTTGCTAAAAAATAATAGGAGATAAGCAGTAGATTGAGGGGATGCGGTAGGGGAATACAAATCTATTTATTAACAGTGGTGGAAAAGATGTGAAGTAATTATCTCCTACAAAAACACAAGCATAATCATATACAATTGATTATTTCTAAAGAAATTACTGAAATTGACTACTCTAATGGATACAGTAGTATGGTGTTGTATTTTAAAAAAAAAAGTAAAAACCAGATAATTCCTTCAATAGGAAAAAAATCAGTATTATTTGGTGCATTTAAAAATGAGAAGATTTAATAACAGACTACTACTTCTCACACTACTGTGGTGTATACTACTTATGTTGACAGATATAAGTAATATGTAGCATCAGTCAGAAGTGGAATGCCTGCAGAAGACTGAGAAGATTGAAATGAAGAGAACAAAAACGCAAACAAATAATTGTAACAGAATTAAGAATATTATGAAGCACATAAAGGATGAATGAACGAAAATGTGCAAATAATGTATTTAATGTATTGTTTTTTATATTTTACGAAGGCAGTGTAATTATGCATTGAATACACACCTGAGTTCTCGTTCACTATACTATTGTTACTTAAAAGAATTGGACAGAATATCAACTGAAAATTAATGATGAAAAACATGTTGAATGAATCAAGGAATATTTTTATGCTGAAGACTTAATTGTGATTTATCTTCTTCTTTATGAAATAAAAATGATGACAAAAGAAACAATTGCATTATCCTACAAAATAACAAACAAACACTTTAGCTATGATGAATTGAGTTTTATTTTATTAACAATAGTTAGAGATAGTGATTTTTAACCCATTTCAATGATTGAACGTTTTTACTATTTATATAATCATACTGATTTGTTTGTTTTTAATAACTAGATGTATAATTTTTTTAAAAAAATAAGGGTAATGCAGCTTCGGAAGATTCTGTTGTCAAAAAAATACAAAGTGAAAACTTTTGTTTACTTATTTTTTTGTTCTGAAAAAGGTGACTTACCTGATTATTCAAAGTTGTCTGTGCATAAATTGTTAGTTACACCACAATCTCATGATGTATGTGAAGAGAGAAAGAGGGAGAGAGAGACAGACAGAGAGAAGTTTAACATTTCGATAGCCACACACTGTATTCACACCTCCACGTTTACATGGATTGATCCAATGTTTTATCGATACAGAATGTTAATATTTGTAAATGATACTACGTCTCTATGTTGCTATGCATTTACATATACATATATATTTTTTAAAATAACTTTACTTTTACACAGATTAACGCTTTTTCTCTGTTGTTGAATGGAAGGACACAATAATCCAACACATAAATGCGCGGATGACCAAAGATTCTCTAATAATAAATAAGAAAAGTTGGTAAAATTGGTAGGTTTTACAGCTAACTATGAAGTCTATCTTTGTGTGTGTGTGCGGATGTAATGATTACAAACTAGACAGCGCAAGTCACCTTGAAGTAACTCTGTAAAGTTGTAGTAGCCCACGATAACTAATTAAAAGTTATTAGACGTTTGGATGATTATTATGATTGTCATCATTATCATCTCAAGTAACCCAGGATATTCAGTGAGGCAGTCAAGAATCAAAGTTTTCGGTGAATGTTTTTCACATTCAACCTACCTCCTGAATAAATTCCTCGCCAACTGGATTTGGTTCTTGAGAGATTAAATGTTTCAAGTCGAGGAATTTTTGCAAAAATGCATTTCCAGCATCCAATTCGACTTCCTTACAGTCTCCATAGTTCCCATATGGAACAGAGCAGTCTGGAAGAAATTTAAAATCAAAAATTTAGGATAAATGACTGACGCAGTAACATAATGATCAACAAAGTTTATGAACAAACTAAGAGTAACGACATAAACTGATTTTACGACACCGACAAACTCTGCACGTCAGATGATTTTTTTCAAATACTTCAGTTAAAACAAATATTATAGTCATCCTTTTTACGGATATTTGTCAGTCCACAAAAAGAAAACACGAAAATGCCAATATTTGAAAATTTATTTTGGTTTGATATGCTTACAGGTGCAAAGACCACGAGATTGTCTCTGAGGCTTGGAACATATAGTTTGTGGATTTGAATCACACAATGACTGTAAGGATTTTGTACGAAAACTGATAGCAAACACCTTGAAGCAATACAATAAAATATAGACCACCAGACATCGAATGGTGAGATTCTACAGTACGGCTGTGTAACTGGATTTAATACTATGTAGACTAGTGCTACATACACAGTAATACTTACAGACTAAACGACTACATGAGAAATGATTAAATTAGATTCTAAGTTAGCCTTAAACAATAAATACGCATAACATTCAATAAGAACAGTAGCAATTTGCTTCTTAAAAATGAAAAACTATTTTTGAGGATAAAGTACTTACCTTTATTCATATACAATGTGAACGAACCCAATGGATCATTAGCAACTTCTTCCGGTGTCTTTTTCAGTTGTCCTCTTAAAAGTCTAGCAACTCTACAAAGACGTTTATGCTTTTTCCACTTTAGATGAGCATAAAAGTGACGACCATTTTGAAATGTTTGTTCGCATACATCACAATAATCTGTACGTCTTGGAGCCTTTTTCTGTTTTGAACAAGAAGAAACAGTTTATGGTAAATCTCAATTGTTAAAATCGATCAAAATACGATTAAGCAATAAATTTTATGAAATTCAATAATCAATAGCGAATCTACTCTTAAAGGGGCTTTGGTTAAGCGTTGTGCTTATTCCATGAAAACAATTTTTTAAAAATATAAGTTGGTAAATGCAATACACAACCAGTTACATTAGGTCCCAAAGAATCCTTCATTGTGTGAACTCACCAATAAAAACCTACTTGAAATCGTTTAATCATTTCCAAACAGATCAAAAAATTGTTGGAAACGAAGCATGTGACAAACATACTTTATAATGAGATTTTTGTCACATTTTTTAACGAAATGAAATGAAATTTTTAGCCCAAAAATGTTCAATTTGATAATCGTCCCATGAAAATGATCATACTGCAGTAGTGTACCGACCAGCATCACAATGACACCAAAGGTAATATCGATTAAGTATACACCATTACTTTGACTTTTATAATAAGACAGATCCTAATTAGACAGCATAAACCAGATAAATGGATCTTTAAAGTACATTCGACGATTTACTTTAAAGTGTGTATAGCTATCCACCAGTTTTGTATAAGTACTTTAAACTAAGATAGTACAGAATACATGTTGTGTCCAAGATCGCTAATTAATAGGTGATTAAGTACGATGTGGACAACCGATACATCATTGTCCAATAAAAAAATGTTATTCATATATTCGGGATTAACTTTCACATCACGTAACAAGTCTACACTGTCATCGAGTAATTTCTTTTGGAGCCCTTTATCAAAATGTCATTAATGACAAAATCAAAGAGAAATGGTACGATTAAATAATCTCTTCAGTAGTTTGTTACGTTATAGAGGTGACTGTACATCATTATTAAACCTTGGGCGTTTTTGATAGGGATTTTAATTCACTGATATTTTCAGACACAACCATCTTTAACAGATGACTGAATAGGAAAACGCCCATTCAAATATTACTCTGATATTTAAAACACGACTATTGGCCCATACAGCGCAAAATAAGCATTCCAAAGGGGGTAAAGGTACGACAAATATGGTCGCGACATGAACGGAATGAAGTTAGCCTTTGACATATTTTACCCAAGTACGTGGTAAATCATGTAGACCAAATGATCACTACATAAACTGAGTAGGAATTCGAAAATTGTGGTGATGGACCATTTTCAGGTCTCTAACTACCCTACGTTTGTAAAACGCTTTAAATGTTTTCAAAAAAAGATTTAATTACAAGTATAGGTTCATGTAATCAACTTCGAATCATACACGATATGAGAGCTAGTGATACCATTAAGTTACTTAGACCGAAGTAGGGAAAGCGTGATTCGAATCTTTAATTAAATGGCTGGGATTATAGTATATCAACATCTAAGACAATATTTTACCGATACAGTTGGTTACGCTTATAAGTTTAGCGACAGAACTAGTCCTTAGATGCGACTGGACTGCAATTTGTTGGAGAGTAGACAGAGGATAACCAATGTAAATTTGGATAAGAACTTCTTTACGAAAACAAGTTTGTCCACATCTAGTTTATTAACTGAAGTAGACATCGCAACATGTTTTTAGAAAGCAACCAATCCCTAAATTGAAACTTCAGGTAGTCTAGAACTAACAAGAGAGACTAATTGTTGAAACATACACTTCAGTTTCACTGTAAAAGTTGAAAATATTCTGGAAAGTAAAATTGACTCTATAAATTCCCAATGATATACAAATTGTAACCACTTATGAATTACAATTTAGTAACCCCGGTCAATAAAGCTGAGTAACAATTGCAGCTAACAAGTTGTAAAAACTCCAATTAGTGGTACGTAAACCATAACCTAAGAAAACGATGAACGGTTAACCAAATTACAGCCCAATAGATTTAAAATGAGATTATGATAATTATTAAAACTCGTGACATATATTTCACTTACAGCTTCTCCTTCGTCGGACTCATTTTTGTTACGATCAGACTTTTTCATATGTCCTTCTGCTGTGATATGATCAAGATATTGTTCTTTTCTTTGAAATGATCGTTTGCAATCTTCACAGTAGAAATTAGGTTTTCTGTTTCTGTTCTAAAAATGTAATAAAACTAATTCCTAACAGTGTGGTAGAGCAAATTAACTGGTAATACAATTACATGAGGTACTGATTCGAAATTTTAAAGGAATTAATCATGAAGTCATTGTCTCTTTTAAATAATACATCAAAATAGTTGGACATGATATATAATTATTTAAGTTGCACAGTTTAGATTATCAAAGATGATTATCGAAATCTATGAATAAAACTGCACTAAAAATGATTTTTGGAATTAATTTATGATCGAGGTACATAAATGCTCATAGTATGATACATATACAGGTTACTAGCATTCATCCATTGGATTTTCATCTCGAGAAACAAGAATGATTTATTTTTCAGTTCGATGTGAAACCGTAGTAATTCACCGCTAGAAACTTCCAGCGATAATCTATAACCGATTACAAATAAGTTTTTCATTAGTTTTATTTGTTTAGGGTTTTTCTTACGTTTTATTATCTACTGTGCAGTGCGGCAATTTGAACCGATTTTGGTTTTGTGAACACTTGTAACCAAATGAAAATGGTCTGCTAGGTTTGGAGATACGTTTTGATGGTATCGACACTACCTAATTATTCAAACCAACATACGAAAATGAAATGTGTAAACTTTACAACTGAATAAATATAAAATGAAATGACTTACATTACTTCTGCGGTAGTCACTTCTAGACTTTCCTTTACCCCTTCTATCTTCAGTTGTATTAAAGCTACGTTTAAAATTACGGATGTGCCTTTCAGTATCCAAATGTATGGAATAAGTATGCTCATCCGTGAATGCTACATCACAGTATTTACAGTATATTCGTAGTTTAGGTTTTCGATTCTAAAAAGACAGAGAAAACAAATAGTTAAATCTGTTTCGGAGAACTTTTAACTACTCATTTAACAGGTAAAAGTATGTGTACTTAGTTTGGTGATTCTGGGCGGAGGGTACTACAACCCGGTTATCCAAATACAGTAACAGAAGTAATATTTGAACCTGGAACTTATTGGTTGAAATTCAAGTTGCTTTGACTACTGAGAAATAAAACAAGTGATCAAAAAAACTAAAACAAAACCGTTTGACAGAACAGACTACTTATTCAATTTATGTAAAAATAAGTAACATAAAAAGAGCATAGTCACCTAAAGCTCAATAATAGATATTACAACAAATAACAACTTTGAAGGTTTAAGTTGTGCAAATTAAAATTCATCCACTCTGTTTTCATTTTAAAAATATATAACTAGTAATATTATATTTATTTATCCAAAAAGTTGACTGACTTTGTTCCCTGTGAACCATAATGAAATAATACCGTAAAGGCTAAACTAAACTGGGAAGCCTGTGAAATTCTAAACTAAAGCTATCAGTATATATGATCAAATTGTGACCTTTCCTTAAAATATAGAGATTTTGTAAAGTAGGTTAAATAAAAGTCACCGATTTCGTGCAAAACATACATTTAAGTAACATTGATCAAACTCAAGAGTTAGCTGAGTACGCAAGAACATTCATCAAGTGAACACTGAACTAGATGACACCAATTTATTGTGAGTTAATATGACTTCGAAAGAGTAAAAACAAAACAATGGTACAATACAACATCACTAAAATAAAAGTTCCAATATATTAATAAATAAATAGCGCTGAGAAAACTTGACAGCCTTACACTACTAATGTATAACAGGACAAAGAGCAGAAAGATTGTTTAAGAGAAATTACAAAGGGTTTACATAAAGCATATACAGCCTTAGATCATCTACATGCATTTCGCCGTGTGTTCTAAAGTCCAAACTGTCCTATCATCGGGTCATCAAGTGTTCTGCCTACATCATGCCTTCGATGTACTGAAACTCTTCAAGCCGTCTGACAAAAGTAACAACTTCAAGACCATGTTTCGCAACATACTACTTACAATCAATTTTGTGAGTAGCATCCACCACACTAACACAATACAATACATCGTTTCTATTCTTTGATAGAACACATAAATAAAAAAAATTTGTGATTGGAATCTAAATCTCAATGACTTTATGAATTATTAAATAATAAGCGTTAATCACTAAATCGGTAATTACTTGTTCAAGTATAGGCGTAGACGGAGGAGGTTGATATCGTGGTTGACTATTGATTGGTGGCTCACGAGAATGATACCAATAACTTGAATCATGTGATGGAGTTTGGAATTGATTCCCACCTAAAAATAAAAAAAGATAAAATTAGTTTGTATGAGATGCAAAGAAAGTAATTAGAGTAAAGGTGGATGAATGAAGTTTGTAAAACCTACAGTATGAGAATGTGGAGAGAATTAGACACATTAAAACTGAAGGAACAAGTAACTTACTGAATATCACTTATGGTACATAGCATATCTCTGAAAAGTTTACGTTTGAAGCAACTAACCCTAGATTACCCATCGATGTGATGTACTTTTCAAATGTTTATCAATTTTGGGGTCGTGGAGATTATTGAGGTCACTAAGAGGCCGAAGTTACGTAATCAGTGAAAACTTGGAAGGACTGTATGGAAGTTTCGCCTTAGTATGGAACTACGCAGTGGAAATCCACGATCCCACCACACAGGATTGAACCTAAAAACAATCGGTATCGTATGCGAACCCTTGAACTCCAGAACAATGACAAGGCACCCAGTGATACACAAGTATAACTTTCATTCAACCCACGACTACCTTCCGATATCTTTGGTGGGTAACTGCCTCATATTTAACACGGTTGAACTCCAGTGATCACGGTTTCTTACTAGGACTCCGGAAACCCATCCCCGAAGCGTGTCACCAGTAAGCATATGATTTTTAAAATCTTTGCGACAGAAACATGAAAAACTGGCAGGAATTAGTAAAACTAGATGATAATCGCATTAATCCAATATAAGAACTTTTAAAGAAATTTATTGAATATGGTCGTTTGTATAGAGGTTTATGCTGTTTGCTTGGGCAAAAGTTTAACTGGATTCGATATAAAAAGTAGTTATTTCAATCACAACGTGCGCGAGATTATCTTTCACTGTATTGTACAAGGGGAGAGGGGGATAACTATAAGCTTACTTTATTTATAGAAGAAAGGCTTCATGCTTAAAAATAACATTCTTATGATGAACTATGACAAGTGAATTATGTTAAAGAAATCTTAGATGTAAACGACCTTTTAGAACACCTGTATTAAAAAGATCAATGGTGAAAGCTCACACAAAACAGTATTGAAGTTTTTTTGATCACGGTTTTTACAGATGTCAATAACCTTCTCGCATGACGGAGGACATAGTCACATCTAGTAGACGACATTCCCTGAAGGAGTTGTATCTTGAGTGCTGTTAGAAGTATGAGGGCGGTTATCACTTCCCGGTTGCCCACACCGTGGAAGGGTTGTTCTAGAGGTACCTGAAAAGAAAATTGGATTAAAGGTGGTCTTAGTGACCTGAGAGCGTGACCGCAGTGCCCAAGGGACAACTGCTTGAGGTCGGTCACACACGACCTTTTTATGGGTAATTTTTGTGTTAGCTCCGTACTTATTGAGACCTTACCGCCGGAGACAGATATCCATGGGATAAGGCGAGGTGTGCATTTTTAGGACCGACGTTTTCTAACCCCACTCCTCCTTGTGGGAAGGCAGAATCGCTGTCATGCTGGTTGTCTTAAGGAAACACCTTACTGCTGTCACACCTCTGTACAGTCAGCAGTACGACTTCGCCTTCGAACCTTGGGTTGCTTTTAGTCTTACCGCTCTTCAACCGACCTGCCTGACATGGTAGGACCTTGAGGAACGGTTGTTCCAGCCACTATAGCTCGAATGCTTCATCACGATAGGCAAACCCAACCACCACGTCAAGGTAGCAACAACGGTCGGGAAAGAGCTGTATTCACTGCTTCCAAATGCGACAGGATATAAAACAATGTGATTAGTTTGAAAAAAGGAAAGATCTACGTTTAAGTGAGTTGGAAAACCTTAAAACTAAACAAATATATGGTGTCTACTCGACCATATAACATATCAGAGCAAAAGTTAGAAAAATTCGGAGTATGGAAAATAGAAGCGGCTTACTCCATTGAGCACTATAACCAGGTTGAGTAGGTGTGGAATTTGTGGAATATCCATACTGACCATTAAAATCGTTAACGGGCGATTCATAATCTTGTACCTAACAAAAAGTTTAATAAAATTAAGATTTAATTGAAATTTTTATCTAAAATTTTGTTTGTAATTGACTGGATGTAGATAGACTATCTGATGGAATATTAGGACTGTGTTTCATAAACCCTTGCAATGACTGACAAATATATGTATACCTTCTATTAACTAACACGTTTTATATCAATCGTAATATCTGCTTTCTTGATAAGTCCGATTTTAATCATTTCAGACACTGTATATGCAAAGCTGAAAAAAATACACCCTCGATATGCATATAATATCGTCAAAGTGATTTTTTTAAAAACTTAAAACGTGGATTTTACTTTTTTTTAAAATAGTTGTTTGGTCGGAATTCATCTGTCTGGAAAAGTTTTCCATACAGTTTCGTGCAGTAAGGTACGCATATTAAATGTAACTTAAATAATGAAGATTAAACTGAGGAGGATGACCTCCGAATTTATGCTTCACTTTACCTACAAAGCATGAGCTCTGAACTATAGATAGAAATCTCAAGCAAAGGTTGAGTGTTATAAAGATTGTATATTAATGTGTAACAACTTGGTTCCTAAACGTTTCTATCGTAAATTCGGGCTAACTTCATTTTTGTCACAAAACTAAGTGCATGAACAACTGTGATTATACAATTTTCCTAAGATTCAACCAGTCTTGCGACTATAGCATACTGCATATTCTTATAACCCATGCTCGGTTTTGAACGTATGTTCAAAAGTGTTGTTCTATCCAATAAGAGACACGAACACTGAATTCACTTACGATGCACAAAGAAAACAGTCAAGTGCTAAAAGCATGATTCTAAGTCGTAACAGAATGTACCGAACAACCAATTAGATATGGCGGATGCGAAAAGTCGATAGCATCGAATATGGATTGTAAATGGTGAAACATATGGAAATAGGGATATGCCACGACTTATCTGCAACAGAGTTGTTTATAAATCTAAACCTATTTATTTTTAAAAGGAATAAGTATGGTTTTCGAAGTGCTCGTCTCTTCAGTATGACGCATTATTGTACATCACGATTGCTGGGAAAGCAAAATCACTCACAACCATATTTAACGATCGTACATTTATTAAATTTAACTGTTTATACAACTTACCTGGGGTCCCATATAGTCAGTGTACGGAGGGGGCTGCTGGTTAGTCGAGTCATAACCATAGGTATATTGTGGCTCTTGAACAGGTGTATGCACTTGGTTTGGACCTAAAAAAGTTTTAAAAAATCACAAGTGTTGAAAGGACAAAATTTGGAGATGCTGTCGGTCCCTACAGGCAATACAGTCATTAGGTTTGGATATGTTAACTGCTCCACTTAGAACTGCACTAGCAGTTTAAACAAAGAGAACAGTTAATTATGCTATGCAAGGTGGACTAAATGTCACTTAGTATCAGAATTAATCAAATACCAGTATGATATGATGCCTAATGACTCACTTCAACGTAATGTGTTGTAAGCAATTATTTGGTCGACCTAAGAAACAAGAGAGCTAAAATGTAGATAGTCCCAAGTTAGGTTTTGACACAGAACGAAAAAACAGGAAAATAGTGACAACAGTAATATTATTTCACTTGTACACTTGAGTCATTCCTGTTGTTGGTTCTAAGGGTTGCAATACAACAGTTTCTGTTGGAATATGTATATCCTGTGTGGAGAGCCTAGATATTGTCATTTAACCACAAATACTTTTAGTAAAGTTGGATGATGGTCAAGAGTGAGGTCCAGAACAAATACTTCGTCTCATTTGAAACTCGTTGATTGAATGTACCTGAACCTTAATGTTTTTAACAAGACGTCGGCTACGTGGACTCAATAGCTCACTGGATAATGCGACGGTGTTTGGAGAGAAGAGTCCCAGAGTAAGCATCAATATTGGGATGCGGGTACATCCAAATGACGAACTGTAAGACTAATCTTGTCTTGAAATCCGATTTAGCTACCACTCAACTTTACTGAAAGCAGTAAAAAAGTTTGAAAAAGTAAACTAAACAAGTAGAAACAATAAGTGAAATCTAGAGTGTGCGGTGTCGAAATTTTGGACAAAAGTGGATGTACATGAAACTGCCTACAGTAAGCTTAAAAACCCATTGCAAGGATGACATCTCTGTACATGACTAGAGTCGACAGTTCTACAGATCAAGGGAGCCTCCAGCTTTGTTCGCCGACAATCCCTTTCCCAAATTACTCCTACGTTAGTCAGAGTACCACGTCGGAGCAAACAGCATTTTAGCACAAATGCTGACTGTTTCCTTTTTCGAAGGTATACAACTTTATCAAATGAAGTGGTTAATGTGCACGATAATCTCTTACATCCCTAAACTAGAAAGCGCGAAAGCAACTTTAATAAGAACAGATTAAGTGTTGTCTTAGTAGCAAAGACTAGCAAAGGTAAAAGAAACGAGACAAATTAATTTAATTTGTGTTTGGATTTACTAAGACTGGTCTAGAAACGACAATTTAGTAACAAAACTACACCACCGAATGATGTATTAGGGACTTGGGCACTATATCCAATCTATAATTTACTCCAGAGAATCCTCAAAACGTTAACAGGTCCGGTTCACGAGGTGACTGAGTGCGGATCTATAAAAACGTAGACAACCTTCTACAAATTCCCTGATTCCTTACTATCGACAAAGCAGTATTTGTTTGCTTTTGATGTATCACAAGAGCCCTATTGAACCAGTAATTACTTGAATTCCGTTTTGCGAACTCTCTTTTCTCTAGAGAGTTCGAGTGATATGCGAATGCCAGATTTTAGTCTTTTTTTCTATCCATACGGAGGAAAGTTTGGAGCCCTGATTATAGCATTGAAAGTTAAAATGGGTAGACTAAAGACGCTTTATCATTCAGCTTTCAAGGAGTTAATCTAATCAGGCGCATAATAAACTAGTCACAACACACATCTATGAAAAGGGTTTATTACCCCTATTTGGTGCTTATAACGTGTAGAAACACTGATGTATAGCTTTCCATAACTACATCGGCTTAAGTTGCAACAATTTACAGCAACAAAAGACAAGAACGATGTTAGAATAAACTATAGTAGAAAAGGGAGAAGTGAAAGAAGTCATAGATAAAACCATGATAGCTGTGATAGATTGAGTCAAATGATTCCCATCATTCCGAGTCTGCATTTCAATACACAACTGTTAGTAGCTAATATATTTGTGAACTGCCATCTTTATTTAGTCTGGGGACTCGGCTTTTGAAAACTACACGAGGATTCGGTTACTGAAAATGACGGGCTTGTTTAAGCCTTAATACTTAAGTAGTGGTTTTGTGCTTGAAGGATTTAGTTTTCGAGTCATTTAACCACACATCGGAAACTTGCTTCATCCACTTCGAGTGAACAAGCCGAGCAACAAGCTTCAGTATAAAAGTTTGGCTCAATGCCAGTATATGATACTCCGCTTGATTACTGCGTTGCACTATTTTTTTATGCCAACAAAGTTCTTGGACAAATGGCAATAAAACAGAGGATGAAATGGATTCGTACCCCAAGTATAATTTGGTTGCATTGGAAACATGTATCCATATTGTCCAGTATAATTGTTCATCTTAGAACGTCGTCTAAAAAAAGAATAATTGGAAATGAACACAAAAAATGATCACAGAAGAAATGGGATGAAAGTTGAGTATGAAGTCTGCAAATGAACCGAGTTGCAGTGTAGAAAATAGTACGACCCAGGAATTCTACGTCCAATCCAATAGGTCACCAACCACCATAAAATTTAGTTAATGAAAAGTAATAAACAAGTTGCATCAAAGCCGAACACCATAGAACAAAATGATTAGTTTTAACCTATGCATTTCAGTCGTTAATCCGAAACCATCTTCATACATGATTCTTCAGTCTTGAACTGTTTCCCTGTCGAGACTACTTAAACGTACTTACCAGGACAATATATTCTTGATCCCAGTACAAACACTCAATAATAAGCATAATTACCAAGTGGTTCATAAAATATACTATGGTTCTCATACATTCACTTAGATCAGGTTCAGAAGTGAGGCCAGATGTCGCAATGTAACTTCCTTTCTTAGTTTTTATACAATATAAAGTAGTATGAATTCGATGTGTTTACGTTTGATCAGTTGGTAGACCCGAAGGATTTTGTCCTAACGTCCTGATGCTTTAAGTCACGTTAATGATCACGACTACTGCAACCATCCCTGTATCTATCTCTTAACATATTTAGCCATATTGTAGTTAACCACAGGTCTAAAACTTTACTATCTATCACCATGGTAACTGACATGCTATGATGAATTTGACTCCAACAGGTGTGTGGTCCGTAAACTAATGCGCTTCTATTACATTAAAACTGGCTAAGATTTGAAGGGGAAAATCCATTAGATGTGGTCACTCTTCTAAGTTGTCGGTCTTCCGCAAAAGTAGTTCGACAACTAAGGCATTTCTAACCTTAACATTAGTTTCACCTTATTACACTTGTAAATTTCGCAGCCTTTTTACAACTCATGAACTGTATTACCACAGGTGTTTGGCTCTTCAAATACTCTAACTATAAGGTCATATGATGCGACTTTGTATCCCGATATTATCCGAACAACGACTACTTTCCAAACCCACCCGGTTAGAGTGGCTTAGTAAACGTTAGTTTTCCATAACCGCCTTGTTCCTTGTATTTCTAACCGTATTGACGTCACGTAGCAGGCAATGGTGTTTTTTGCATCGACGATAACTCTAGCATGCCTTCCACTTGTACCCCCACGGCCTCATGACTCCCATCGACACACGAACCAGTTCCTCGGCTCTTGATTGGGACTATCGATAGGGTTAGAATGTCGTACATTGATGAGCAGAATGCTTATTGGAACTGGATAAACCGACCGAGAGCAATTTTAACCTGAGATGAAATAAACTCATTAGAATTAACAAAACTCGGCTTTTACTTCCCGTCAATTTATCCACTGGTATCGCCCACAACCGGGTGGAAGATTTACTATTCGCTCCTAAGGAATTCAAGGAAATTCCTTCAGGGAAGATGTGTGTAAGTACTATTCTGATAGTTGAGTGAAGTTAATATAATCGATAAAATTCGATCACCATTTAAGAATGATGAGGATGACATAAGCTTCCTCTAAGTGACCGAATAACTGGACCAACTGCTGCAATGCAGTGAAACGTACCAAACGTCAATCTGCACGATTTTCTGGGAACACGAGATACTTCGAAATCCAGATGGGTAAAACGTGCGTCGCCAACCGTAATGTAGATGGTGGCAGAAACTACTAAGTTATACACAATCATATACGTTCTGGAGGCTAGCGAGTTGTCGATTAACATACCCGTTTAGAGAACTTCCTGAATACTTGCTACCTAAAGCCAATTTTAAGTTTTCCAACAGAACACATTAAGTGAGCAGAATTTTCCCGTACAAGCAGTATAATTCTCAGAAATTCAATAAAGGACACGTCTTCGAAAGTATCCACGGACATAAATTCAACAGTACGAGAGAGTAGTGACCTGACGAACTTGTATATGTTAACGCTTAGTAAATAACTTGATGGGTTTTAACACACTAAGTCAATAAACCAAGTACTTAGAAATAGTAAACTTGGGATGGTGAAACGCTAGTATTGAGAAGACGGACTATTGAAAACTAGGAAAAATTACCAGCATCCCTACCGTGACAGATCGGGAGCAAAAGTGTGACCGGCAAAGCAACCACCTAATAGTGTTATCATTACTTATTACCGGGCAATCTCAGCTCGAAGACTACAGATTAGGATTTTTAGAGAATCACGGGTTCACAAATCTTCAGGTTGTGTAAAGATATTTAGACATTAGGAGAAGCGATTATGAATGCCAGAGGCTTGTGGGAACTACTGAGAAATACTTCCACACCATCAGCGTTACGGATCAAATACACCAGAAGTTCTATGTCACATCCAATAACAGTTTTAGAATTTACATAGGACAATGATATGTCTGTTAACAGTAGACCGCCCATACTGTTCAACCGTGGCTGACAGAGTAAAATATACAAAACTTTAACGAAAATAAACATGGAGTCCCATGAACTATCAGTTTATCAAATCTAGGTCACTTTTCTGACCATAAATAACAATGGATAGACTTACCCCAACAAATATGGAAACGAAAGTGAACCTGCGGATTCAGTTAAAGGCCATTCATTCAATACCCAATATTATGGTCCCAAGGATTAGTCCGAATTCAAGAACTGTCGAATAGATATGCATAAAATGGTAAGCTGTTTTTTTGACTCAGTCTGCTTATAAGAAATATTAAGCAACCACTGAACTTGTGCTGATACCAAAATATGTACCATCCAGGCGCCTTCAGTTTCAGCTTCAGATTGGGAAGGACGAGAGAATAGGTGACCTGTGTTAGTCCTGGCGAAGATGGTCTCTCAGTTCACCCAAATTTCTTTTGAAAAAGTTGACAGATAATGCTTTGATCATGTGTTGAGGTTATAAATTCCACTTGCTGATGATTCGATGAGAAAGTTGATAGTCAACTGACAAGTAATTTGTCCAGTGTTTGTGAACTTTTTGGAGTGTCCTCGTAAATTCCCTATCTCGGAAGACAAGAAAAATGAGAGCATATCATATGCAAACTGATCACTTAGTAATTTAAAAACTGTGATCAAGTCACCGCTGACTCTTCGATATGACAGTGGGATTATATTCAGTTTAGCCAGTCGAGCATCATACGGGAGCTTCGCTATTTCTAGGATCAGCTTAGTTGCTGCTCTCTGAACTTTTCCCGAAATCCCACTGTCTTGTTGAGCAGAGACTAGTCTCTTGTATACAGCACTCAAGTTTAGGACGCACGAATACTGTGTACAAATGCCCTGGTATGGCCGAGAGTGGGGTAGGCCCGCCGTCCCCCTCGAATTGCTTTCACGCGAACACGCGTATACAGCCCCTGCCAGAGAAGCCCTACTCACTGCTTTCTCGTGGCGGGGGTGCTGTTTACGCAAATGAGAGGACGAAAAGCGAATATCCATCACTTTAACCAGATGCCAAACCAATGGTGCACATGGGCACCAGTATCTTGAAGGAACAAATGGCGTATGAACCAATCGTTGGTCACCGGCTACCATGGGACTGCATCTCCTTACGATGGTCCACTGTCTTGTGAGTCAGACCTTAGGGTCAAAGGCTTGAGATGTGGCCCCCTAAGAAAACCACGTGCTTCGATTTGAGCACCCAGGCAGTATCACAGCCCACACACAAATAAAATGAAAATGACGATGTTTACTGAAAATTTTATTCACACTTCGATTAACAGTCAAACAATTCACATTATTATTTAACACATCACTTATTCACTCTCTTTTATTCCCACTTTGTGTGTCCTTATTTCTCGACTTATACAGCAGCTCGCTAATGGCAGAAACTCGGTTCTATCTAAACGTTCTCGAGTAACTGCCTGCTTGAAAATTGTATGCTACCACCAAACACGAATACTTAAGCAGTTTTTCTGAAACCACGCGCATCATTCAAACTGGCTACCTTCAAAGTTCGCACACTTATGCAGGTTGGACAACAGATTGGGCTGGCTATGTCTTTGGAAAGTCTTAATATCGACGTTTGTTGTTTGCCCGAGACCCGTATTCATGACTTTAGTGAAGTACTACGAATTCGCTCTCGATCTGTCGCTCCAAAAAGCTTGTTTCACATGCGTTTGTCTGGGGACCCTGTGGCATCTTCGTCTGGTCTTGCTGACGTTGGTGTCGTAATAAGTGCTAGAGCTGAGGTTCCCCATTAACAGTCGGTTATGTGCTGTTAGATCAGAAATTTCCATCAAAATGAGAAATCGGTGTGAGAAACGATGTCTTTTCGTCATCTCCGCCTATGTCCCGACAGATTGCAGTCCGGATGCAATCAATGATGAATTCCATCACCAGTTAACTGTTCTCCAGAAAGTGCGTTTGACAGATATCATAGTACTGGCCGGAAACTTGAATGCTCAGGTCGGGCGTCTAGGCACAGAAGAGAATCGTTTAGGTGGCCGATAGGTACTTGTTGGTCGCAGGACAGATAATGGGGATCGTCTACTGCAACTGTGCACAGACCACAACCTGTTTCTGACTAGCACTAACTTTCGACACAGTCATTGCCGATGTGCCACCTGGCGTCCTTCCTCTTCATCTCAAGCCTGGACTCAGATTGATCACAGCTACCGATTGGCGATCAGCTAACGCTGGCGTGGTTGTGTTAAAGACTGCTGCTCCTTTTGAAGTACCTATCTGGACTCTGACCATGCTTTGGTCTGCGCCAATCTTACTTTACTTTTCAGTGGCCAACGAAGTGACCTCTACCAAAGGATTGATATCAGCAAATTGGTCGCAAATTCTCTTGCATCTAAGTATCGAACCAAGTTATTTGCTAGGCTAGCTACTATTCCACCGCTTGAGGCTTCGCAAAACACCCCGCTTATAAGCATTAGGTTTCTTTAGGTTCCTTACATTTCATCAGAGCCCGTCAGTCTACTCCGGGTGACCGGGTGACGCCAATCACCAACCTCCATAGACGTCGTGGACAGTGGGCGGAATTCTTCGAAGGGCAATTCAACTGGCTTGATGCTCCAGCAACATCGGTCAGAGTGTCCTGCTCTCCATGGCCGGTTGCGACTGATCCACCAAACGAGAAGGAAGTCCGCAAGGAACTCCAACTCTTGAAGCGTTACAAATCACCTGGCCCAGATGACTTACCTTCGGCTCTTTTTAAAGATGGTGGTGACTTTCTGGCTGACGAACTGACGGTGTTGTTACAGAGGTCTAGGAACTAGAGAGTGTACCAACGTCATGGAATGAGTAGATAGTTGTCCCTATCTTTAAAAAGGCTCTACGTCGTTCCTGTAACAACTATCGTGGGATAAGTCTACTTTCGATCGCATCCAAGCTATTGGCTTCCGTCATACTTCGTAGGTTGTTCAAAACCCGAGAAAGATTGACTTGCGAGAAGCAGGCTGCTTTTCGTTCTGGTCGTGGATGTATTGATCATATCCTCACCCTCCGTCAAATGTTAGAACACCGTCATACTTATCACCTGCCAACAATCGTAGTTTCTTGACATCAGGGCTCTCTTTGATTCGTTGGACAGGACTGTTCTCTGGGATTGTCTGTTGAAGAAGGGTGTGCCTGAGAAGTTTATTAACATCTCGGGTAGAGTGAAGGCATACAACCACCTTTCTCCATTGTTCCATTCAAGCAGTAGGGTTAGGCAGGGTTGCCCAATCTCACCATTCCTCCTCAACTTTGCCATCGATGACATTCTGGAAACAGCTCTGATGAATGTAAGTAATGGTGGTGTGGATCTGCTGCCTGGATAAAAACTTCTCTTCTTTGATATTGTCTTACTGTGATATAATGCCCAAGCCATACAATGTCCATAGGTACGGTATGTGCTTTACACCTTTGAAGTGCAAAGTACTTCTAGAAGACTTGCAGGATTCTAATCCTGTACTCACCCTGGGTAATGAACAGATAGAAGTAGTCGAGAAGTTCGTGTATCTGGGTAGCTGCATAAGTGCTGGTGGGGGTGTGAGTGATGCGATCAATGCACGTATAGTGAAAGCCAGAGCCGCTTATGCCAATCTGAGTCATCTTTGGCGCCTTCGTGATGTCAGTCTGGCTGTAAAAGGTCGGACCTACAACGCGTCGGTGAGAGCACTTCTGCTCTATGCTTGTGAAACCTGGCCTCCGAGTTGAGGATGTTAGATGACTCTCTGTGTTTGATCATCGTTGTATCCGAAGGATTGCTGACATCCAGTGGCTACACTATGTTAGTAATGCAAAGGTTTGGCAACGTGTGTTCGGATACAGCGACGATAATGCACTTGGCGACATCATCCTGAAACAGACTTCGGTGTCTTGGATATGTCCACGTCGTGCACTATTTGCTGACACTGTGACTGGTTCGAAAAGGCGGAGAAGTGGTTAGTGTATGACATGTTGTCATGGTTTGAAAGAAAGCTGTACGGGACTGGCTTTTGTTGTTCCTTCACAACTCCCTGGCTGGGGTCCGAGAGGTGGTGCGACACAGTGGCTAGAGACGTTATCAGATTTGGCTCAGAATAGAAGCCAGTGGCGATCCTGCCGTAACCTTCTTTTACTTTCTCCATAAAAAGTGGTTGTATCTTCCTTAACTGAAAGACTTCATTTGGTTGTACCTTTTCGTTTCCCCCATTATTATTACAATTATTACTACACTACCTTAAACTAATGTGGTCGTTATTGTTCTTTTTTTTAATTTTACGATCCTTACCTTCTTTCTTTATCTCTTCCCATTCTCATTGTTTTGTGTGGCGCATATATGTTTGGTGCCCTCTTGTACCAATATTTGTGTTTAAATAAAATAAAAAACGACATGTACAAAGTCATTAAGGCTCTAGCGTCGATATGGCTAAAAACCCTACGTATTGACCATAGGGTTGTAAAACCTTTGACGGCTATTACACTGCAGTATGCAGTAGGTTTTATGTCTTGGTTAACGATGACTTCTAAGTCACTGCGTTTCTGTACAACAGGTAGCTCAATATTATTCATCGTGAGTGTGTCTGTACCAAAGTATGTATCGTTCAAACATCATGTACAGAAAAAAAACTGGGAGCTATTTCTCTAAGTATCAGCTTTATAGTTGTTTGGAGATAAATTCATGGTATAACGTGAATAGGAATTCGAAATAGTGAGGTCTATTAATTTTCGATACTGTATATAGTGACTGATTACATAATCAAGCACGTTTGTATCCTTTTTGTCTTTCTTCTCGATCGCACAGTTATGGAAACAGTTTTTCACTTAGAAATCTCTCTGCGGAATAGGAGTTTACATTTCAGAAGTTTGGATGGTGGCACAAACCATGGATCCGCTCGATCGTTTGTTACCTATCTTACTAGCAGTTCCAAACACTGAGATCACTCTCCCTGTTTTCGATTTTATTTGACTGAATAATTATGAATCTTAACCTCTTTTACCCACACACTATCAATAAATGCCCGTAATTTACTGAAATGCTAAATACTGAGTAGATAGTGATGTCTATTCAGGTAGACTGGTAGAAATGTGAGACCCTAGCTAATGCTTAGGTCTCACCTTGTGGTACAAAGGCAAATAAATCCCCAAAACAAGAGGTCC